GTGACTTATCTTTTAAAGAGTAGTTCTTGAATGAATTCTCTTTAATTTATTGGAGTTAGATGACTCCAATACTAGTTCGCCACTGTCCTAAATTCAGAAGATAGGCTGTTTTCTTAGTTTGGGTCCCCTCAAGTTGAACACCTTGAGACAAAGATTCTGTGCAAATAGTTCATTGGTGAGTAGAATGGCTAATTACTAAGCAAATGCAAAATTAAATTAACTATCTCCAAAGTTAATCAAGGGATAGACAAAGAATACAGAATATGATACCTAATATATAAAGAATGGAGGAGGAAGAAAAAGGAGGAGAAAAAGAAAAGAACCTTTAGATTGTGTTTGTAAAAGCATATTAAGTGAGTTAAGGTAGACTCTTCGATAGTAAAGAAATTAACTTTGAACCTTTGGTAACCACGAATCTAAAACCTGCAATGGCAATAAGTACATACCTATTGATAATCACCCTAAATGTAAATGGACTGAATGCACCAATCAAAAGACAGAGAGTCACTGAATGGATAAAAAAAAACAAGACCCATCTATATGCTGCTTGCAGGAGACTCACTTTAAACCCAAAGACATACACAGACTAAAAGTGAAGGGATGGAAAAAGATATTTCATGCAACTAACAGAGAGAAAAAAGCAGGAGTTGCAATACTTGTATCAGACAAAATAGACTTCAAAACACAGAAAATCACAAGAGACAGAGAAGGACATTACATAATGATAAAGGGGTCAATCCAACAAGAAGATATAACCATTATAAATATCTATGCTCCCAACACAGGAGCACCCACATATGTGAAACAAATACTAACAGAATTAAATGGGGAAATAGAATGCAATGCATTCATTCTAGGAGACTTCAACACTCCACTCACTCTGTAGGATAGATCCACCAGACAGAAGATAAGTAAGGAGACAGAGGCACTGAACAACACAATAGAACAGATGGACCTAACAGACATCTACAGAACTCTACACCCAAAAGCAACAGAATACACATTCTTCTCAAGAGCACATGGAACATTTTCAAGAATAGATCATATACTAGGCCACAAAAAGAGCTTCAATAAATTCAAAAACATTGAAATTATACCAACCAGTTTCTCAGATCACAAAGCTATGAACTAGAAATAAATTACAGAAAGAAAATGAAAAATCCCACAAACACATGGAGGCTTCACAACATGCTCCTAAATAATCAATGGATCAATGACCAAATAAAAACAGAGACCAAGCAATATATGTAGACAAATGACAACAATAATTCAACACCGCAAAACCTGTGGGACACCGCAAAGGCTGTGCTAAGAGGAAAGTATATTGCAATACAGGCCTACCTCAAGAAAGAAAAACAATTCCATATAAGCAGTCTAAACTCACAATTAATGAAACTAGAAAAAGAACAACAAATGAGGCCCAAAGTCATTGAAGGAGGGACATAATAAAGATTAGAGCAGAAATAAATAAAATTGAGAAGAATAAAATAATAGAAAGAATTAATGAAAGCAAGAGCTGGTTCTTTGAGAAAATAAAGAAACTAGATAAACCCCTAGTCAGACTTATCAAGAAAACAAGAGAGTCTACTCACATACACAGAATGAAAAATGAGAAAGGAAAAATCACTACGGACACCACAGAAATACAAAGAATTATTAGAGAATACTATGAAAAATTATATGCTAACAAACTGGATAACCTAGAAGAAATGGACAACTTTCTAGAAATATACAACCTTCCAAGGCTGACCAACGAAGAAACAGAAAATATGAACAGACCAATTACCACCAACGAAATTCAACTAGTAATCAAAAACTGACCTAAGAACAAAACACCTGGACCAGATGGCTTCACCACTGAATTTTATCAAACATTTAGTGAAGATCTCATACCCATTCTCCTTAAAGTTTTCCAAAAGATAGAAGAGGAGGGAATACTTCCAAACTCATTCTATGAGGCCAGCATCACTCTAATACCAAAACCAGGTATTAGAAAAAGAAAATTACAGACCAATATCCCTGATGAACATAGATGCAAAAATACTCAACAAAATATTAGCAAACTGATTTCAAAAATACATCAAAAAGATCATCCATCATGATCAAGTTGAATTTATGCCAGGGATGCAAGGATGGTACAACATTCGAAAATCCATCAACATCATCCACCACATCAACAAAAAGGACAAAAACCACATAATCATGTCCATAGATGCTGAAAAAGCATTCAACAAAATTCAACATCCATTCATGATAAAAACTCTCATCAAAATGGGTATAGAGGGCAAGTACCTCAACATAATAAAGGCCATATATGACAAACCCCCAGGCAACATTATACTTAACAGTGAGAAGCTGAAAGCTTTTCCTCTAAGATTGGGAACAAGACAAGGATGCCCACTCTCCCCACGGTTATTCAACATAGTTCTGGAGGTCCTAGCCATGGCAATCAGACAACACAAAGAAATACAAGGCATCCAGATCGGCAAGGAAGAAGTTAAACTGTCCCTGTTTGCAGATGAAATGATATTGTACATAAAAAAACCCTGAAGAATCCTCTCCAAAACTACTAGATCTAATATCTGAATTCAGGAAAGTTGCAGGATACAAAATTAATGCACAGAAATCTGTGACATTCCTATACACTAACAATGAACTAGCAGAGAGAGAAGTCAGGAAAACAATTCCTTTCACAATTGCATCAAAAATAATAAAATACCTAGGAATAAACCTAACCAAGAAAATGAAAGAGCTATACTCTGAAAACTACAAGACACTCATGAGAGAAATTAAAGAAGTTACCAATAAATGGAAGCACATTCCATGGTCATAGATAGGAAGAATTAATATTGTCAAAATGGACATCCTGCCTAAAGCAATCTACAGATTCAATGCAATTCCTATCAAAATACCAACAGCATTCTTCAAAAATCTAGAGAAAATCGTCCTAAAATTCATATGGAACCACAAAAGACCTCGAATAGCCAAAGCAATCCTGAGAAGGAAAAATAAAGCAGGGGGAATTACGCTCCCCAACTTCAAGCTCTACTACAAAGCCACAGTAATCAAGACAATTTGGTACTGGCACAAGAATAGACCCATAGACCTATGGAACAGACTAGAGAGCCCTGATATAAACCCAACCATATATGGTCAATTAATATATGATAAAGAAGCCATGGACATACAATGGGGAAATGACAGCCTCTTCAGCAACTGGTGTTGGCAAAACTGGACAGCTACATGTAAGAGAATGAAACTGGATTATTGCTTAACCCCATACACAAAAGTAAACTCAAAATGGATTAAAGACTTGAATGTAAGTCATGAAACCATAAAACTCTTAGAAGACAACATAGGCAAACATCTCCTGAATATAAGCATGAGTAACTTATTCCTGAACCCATCTCCTCGAGAAAGGGAAACAAAAGCAAAAATGAACTCACTGGACTACATCAAACTAAAAAGCTTTTGTACGGCAAAGGACATCATTAACAAAACAAAAAGGCATCCTGCAGTATGGGAGAATATATTTGTAAATGACATATCCGACAAGGGGTTAACATCCAAAATAGATAAAGAACTTACACATCTCAACACCCAAAAAGCAAATAACCTGATTAACAAATGGGCAGAGGATATGAAGAGACGGTTCTCGAAAGAAGAAATTCAGATGGCCAAAGACACATGAAAAGATGCTCCACATCATTAATCATCAGGGAAATGCAAATTTAAACCACAATGAGATATCACCTCACACCAGTAAGGATGGCCAGCATTGAAAAGACTAAGAACAACAAATGCTGGCGAGGATGCGGAGAAAGGGGAACCCTCCTACACTGCTGGTGGGAATGTAAGCTAGTTCAACCATTGTGGAAAGCAATATGGAGGTTCCTCAAAAAACTAAAAATAGAAATACCATTTGACCCTGGAATCCCACTTCTTGGAATATACCCAAAGAATACAACTTCTCAGATCCGAAAAGACATATGCACCCCTATGTTCATCGCAGCACTTTTTACAATAGCCAAGGTATGGCATCAACCTAAGTGTGTATCTGTAGATGAATGGATAAAGAAGAGGTGGTACATATATACAATGGAATACTATTCAGCCATAAGAAAGAAACAAATCCTACCATTTGTAACAACATGGATGGAGCTGGAGGACATTATGCTCAGTGAAATAAGCCAGGTGGAGAAAGACAAATGCCAAATGATTTCCCTCATTTGTGGAGCATAACAATGAGGCAAAACTGAAGGAACAAAATGGCAGCAGACTCAGAGACTCCAAGAATGAACTAGTGGTTACCAAAGGGGAGGGGTGTGGGAGGGAGGGAGAAGGGGACTGAGGGGTATTATGTTTAGTACACATGGTGTGGTGGTTAACGGGGAGAACAGTGTATCACAGAGAAGGGACATAGTGGATGTCTGGCAACTTGCTGCACTGATGGACAGTGACTGCATTGGGTATGGGTAGGGACTTGATAATATGGGTAAATGTAGTAACCACATTGTTTTTTCATGTGAAACCTTCATAAGAGTGTATATCAATCATACCTTAATAAAAAATTTAAAAAAAAATGAACCCCCTCCCCAAAAAAGAATGCACAGCTCAGTCAGTTTTCCAGAGAGGCAAGATCATTGGGTGTTTATCCATTGACACTTGTCAGTCATTGGTGAGTTATTTCCAGTGAGTGTTAATCCCCCAGCACTTCCAGCAGACAGAGCGACCCCAGCAGCCAGAGAAGGCCTGCAGGCAGGGAATTGGCAGGTGCTGGGGGTTGGAAGCCAGAAATGGTAAGTGTGGAGAATATGGGTGGGGTGCAGACAGCATCTGCTGCCACTGTGGCAGGGAAGGTTTTCTAGCTTGTTAGTTCTCTTACTTGCCATTATTTTGATCATATAATGGATTTCCCTGCTGACCCACACCCAGAAAGTTCCACTGCCTCCTCTGCTTCCCCTTCTACTCTGTGTAACCCTTCCACTTTGTCTTTCCAGTTCACTCTGTTCATCACCATTTGGCCTTCACTTTGGCATCAGAGACCTGTGGAAAGTCACTTCCTTTTCTGAGCCTCACTTTTTCTAGTGTCTAAGGTAAGAATAATAATATCTTTTCAGGGCTGTTGTGTGAATTGAGGAGTGAGCTAACACATGAAAAAGCACATGTGATCTGTGCTTTATTGAGCAGGGCTAGTTCCCTTTCTATGGCCATACTTGTTTTTCCTTTGGCAAAACTTGGGGACCTTATCTTTCTGCTACCTTCAAAAACTGAGATGTATAGATAAAGGCTGGATTTGTCCTCTAAAAGAAACCTATGTATTTTATTATTTTTCTAATATTTTATTGGAGGTAATTGAATTACATAAAAATTTTTGATATTTAGTGGAACAATGCAAAACATACTTCACGATTTCTAAGCATATTGCATGTATTCTGCTGTCTTTCATCACTTAGCTTATCCCACAAATAATTAGGGCAGGAAATGGGGACTCAGCTTCATGAAGGCACAGCCTTGGCTCTGCCTTGAACTTAGGCCCATCTCAGAGCCATTTATTGCCTCAGGAAACTGTGGTCTTTCCTGTGGTCCTGGTATTTTGTGTCCTGTGGTGTCTGTTAATGTTAGCTGTTGATTCAGTGGATTACTGCTTTCTGCTCAGAATCACTTTGGATGGAGGAAGGAGAGAGAAGAGGGAGGAAGGAGAGCTGCTTTGTTGGCTTCTGAGTAACTGGCAATTATTATAATGACACTTTCCTATACATGGTTCTGCTGTACATGATTACAAAGTCCTTTTACATACATTACAAAGTTTAATCCTCGAAACTATCCCAGAAAATGGGCAGGAAGAAAAGGATCTATCAAGAACAAGTTGTACTAATCCTTTGGAGGAGGCAACTGTGATGAAAAGGAGGCTCAGAGAAAGATAGGATGCATGTATCCAGGCACTAAAGTCACACCTTTTGTTTGTGTGCCCTGGGGGGTTTATGTGAAGGTCTTCCTTGCTTTCTATCCTTATGTGCTGAAGGGTGGTAGTACTGAGCTCCGAACTTGGCCCTGACAGTTCTGAGACAAGTCATTTTAGAAAGGCCCTTGATTACCATGAGCCCTGGTCCCTTCATCTATAAAGTGGAGATGAAGTACTTCACGATATACCACCGTGTAGGGTGTTTGTAAGAATTTAACAAATTGGTGTAAAAGCTCTTTGCAAGCTGTAAAGCACCCTCCGTTATACTTCCTGGTAATGAAGAGATGAGCCTGTAGAATCAGGAGCATATAAAACACCAAACTAAGAGTTGACTTCTGAATAACCTTGTGGGGGATCCAGGGTTTACTTGTTTGGAGGTTTAAGATTTGTCTGGTAGAAAATTGTCTGATTATTTGTGTATTTTTAGAAGTAAGATGGCAGTACTGACTTATTTATCCAGTACCTGTGTTAACAGTTGAGAGGTAAAAATACAGAATATTTGAGAGACACCTTTATCCAGATATTTTGGAAAAAATAATGCTTATACAATATACAGTTGTTATGAATTTTCTAGATAATGGCAGGGAACTCCACTGTGTTGGCTTGTTGCATTTTGAAAGATCCAGGTTCAAGTCCACATTCAGCTATGTAGTAGCTATGTGACCCAGGATGAGCTATTCTGTTTTTTCATCTGTAAGAAAGTCTAAAAGTTCTCCTAGAGATCATTGTGATGATTGAAGGAGATGCTGGGTGAGAAAATTCTCCAAAAACTATAAACAACTCCATAAATATAAGGTGATATAATTATTATCATTACTCATGTTTAAAGAAATGAAACCAAGAAGCAGCTATTTAATGATTTAAGTTAGAGGGAATCAAGCCAGAAATTAATGAGTTGTAGTCTATATGGAGACACAGATTGCTTTTTGATAATGATTTCTTTCCATATGGTTTTGGTGTGGGATGCTTACGGGTGATAAATGGGGAACTATGCAAATGTGATGCATGTGCACAAATTTATTTCAGGATTCACTACTTGCCTTGCTGGCAAGCTATGAACTTCTAAGAATGTAATGTGAACCTGTTCAGTCTATTGCCTGTTTCAGACTTTGAAGGCTGTAAATAAGTCTGACTCAGTCTCTGATAACTCTATAAGAAAGCCAAAGGGCTAACTGTCCACGGGTAGGGGAGGGGCTACAACTACAGAAGGGGTGGCCTGGGCAGGGCTGGTGACTATCCAGGCTGTGTCTCCATGGGATACCCTTAATGTGTGAATTTGCCACAACCCCTGTGCTGGGTGTCAGCCCTGTGCCATATAAAATCCAGGTTTACCAACTTATTGAAAGTCCTTTCTCTCTTCAGTGGGCTCACATTATTCCTACTCATCACCTGAAACTTAAGATCTAAATGCCAATTAATTAATTTTTAATGAGAAGTACAGTTATCAAGAAGCCCAGAGTTTTCCAGTTAACAGATAAGAAGACAAATTGTAAGCAGAAAATAGCTTGGTGCGTTTGGTATCCAAACAGGTATCATCAGCTATTCAGTTAGAACAAGAAAGCGTTCAGAGGTCAAGTTTCCTGAGTGCACGCAGGAAAATTCTCTGTTGATTCAGCTAAACAGAAAAGGAATTCATCGAAGTTCTTGGGTAGCTCATAGAAGTAACGGGCAGGCTGGAGAAGCAGGCTCATAATGCGAGGGATCCAAGAGAGGGTATGGAGGGAGAACATGGCAGGGCACATGTTCTGTTCAGTGCACCCCTGCGGTCCCAACTTGTCGCGCGCCCCGTCCTCGCCGGCAAGAACAGCACGCAACAACAGCAGGATTCTTCTGCAGAAAGCTTTATTCTTCAGCTCTTTGTGAAACAAATGTGTTGGGCAGGACCCAGAGGGGAAGGAGAGGCTTGCTTATATAGTTCTCATGCTCTGACCTGGTTGGTGCGGCTCCATACGCCTTATTAGCATAACAATTTGGTGGGTCTCATTGGTCCTTATGCCAAGGCGTAATTAGCATGTGGTTTAGTGGTGTGGGATGTTTTGTCACTAGGAAGTTTGGGGCCTTCCGGCTGCCCTGCATTGGGCGCTATTTTCTGAGCGCGGCTGCCAACACCAACTCAGCAGTTACACTGCCATTCCCTGGAGACTCTCAGTGCAGATACTACTGCTGGTCCGAAAATGCAGCTTCTCGACTGCCCCTGTACCTTTGTTTCTCTCCTTCAAGATCCAAAGACCGAGATAGGAGCATTGGTAAGTTGGGTCCCGGGCATCTACCCAGCCAGCAGGATGCTAGGAGAGGGGATAGTGGCCCTGGACCGGCACTTCTCCAAGTGTAGTCTGCACACTGGTGCGGGCTGTGGACTAACTGTTTCTATTTTGTGAGGAGGCGAAGAACTTGTGCTAGAATGTAAATCAATTTAGTGCTTTCTCTACTGAGAAAACTCTGTTATGAAAAAAGTGTCAGCTTCATTAAACAGTGTGATACCGAACAGAGCAGCACTTCCCTTGACTTCGTGGTGGGGGACCAGGATCTGCCATCAGAGGGCTCCTCACCAAAGGAAGGGGGTTCGTCAAAAACCGGTAAATGTTCACCACAAATGAGATCAGGCTGGGTAAGCAGATCAAACATCTTAATGAATAAGGTACTTAGAGCAAAGGGGAGGGTGTTGGAGATGTTATAATAAAGACTCATGCTGAATTATTACAAAATATTCTATATGGTGAATGCTAAAGGCTGACTAGAAACAAGAAGTGTTAAGAGCTCTGAGAGGTGAAGTAGAGTCACCACGGAGGACTTAAGACTTTGGTTAGATACCGAAGGAAGGGATGGTAATTTCAAGGACTGTGACGGGTCTGAGAATTTACCCTTCTTGCAAGCTAACAGGTTAGCCTGCCACAGTTTCATGGATGTGGACAGAAGAATGAGATTCCCAGATGAGAGACAAAGGACTTTATTGCTCACAGCACAGCAAGCAGAATAAGCCAGGCTTTTTTTTTTTTAAGAGAAATTTATAGAAGGAATTACAAGGGAAAATGAAGAGATCAGAAAGTACAGCTTGTCTCTGACACAGCAGAAAGTAAGAATCCAAATTGGGTTTTGACACAGCAGATGTGGCCCAGACGGTAGGGCTGACTACACACACAATCATCTTTGCGAGGAGGGCTGCTTTCTGGCCTATTCCTTATTCCTTTTCCGTGGTGCGCTCGGCTAGGCTTGGTGTCTGATTTTTACAGAGCAGCCCTAGTTCAGCTGCTAAATGAAACATAGAGAATGGGGGTTATTATCCAAAGTCTGTTCTCTTTTCAGGTTCACCTCCCCTTAGGCCTGCACCGTCCAATACATGTGGCTATTGAGCACTTGAACTGTGGCTAGTCTGGATGGAAATGTGCTGTAAGTGCAAAATATGCACTAGATTTCAGAGACTTAGTGATAAAAAGGAAACCATCCCAATAATAAGTTTTAAACTGATTCCATGTTGAAATAATAATTCTTTGGACTTAAGTAAAACATATAATCAAAATTAATTTCACCTGGTTCTTTCTACACTTTAAAAACTATGTGGCTACAAGAAAACTTTTTCTCCAGTTCTACTGAGGATACAAGACATTTTAAATTACGTATGTAGCTCTCATTTGTGGCGCACACTCTTTCTATTGGACAGTGCTGCTGAGATACATTTGAGAAAGAAGGGAGGCTCCCTTGTTCCCTCCTTGTTATTCTCCAAGGGTTGTGTGACTTCCTGTGTCATCGCGGCCCATGGCTGGGCATGGCCTGGGCCACTGATCTGCATTCAGCTGACGTCCTCCTTGACGTGTCCCCAGCGCTGCAACTAACCAGGCCTCAGTGTGGAGGAGGGCTGACCTGGTCAGGACTCACCTCCCTCATGACCCTGTCCCTCACTTCCCTTCAGAGTACCCCCTCACAAAGATTTGTAGGTGAACCAGGGTTTCCCAAAAAGTCAAATAACACTCACGGGAGTTACAATTTACGAAGGAAGGACTTTTAAACTGCGTATTCATTATGCCTTATTTCACATGCTCTATGGAAAATGTGCTCAGGGACTTGAGCCCTTCACAGGAGATCCCCTGGGGGATGCAACATAGTCCATTGCTCTTAACCTTGCTCTTCGGAC